TTATTTACATAAAGGCTGAAGACCAGGCGTCCAGGATACTTAGAACCTGGTCTACCTACTGTGCCATAGAGGTAGACCAGGCCTCTGGAACTCCTAGGATAAAATTAAAGTGCTCCCTTTAGTGCTGATTGAGTTAGAGCTCTATTTTCTTGGAACACCTCCTGAGAGTTAAGTGGAATAGCGCTGTAGGCATATAAACAATATATATACATAGGGATATATTCACTTTGAGTCTGAAGATTGGATTACTCTGTTCTCATTAGCGTTGTTAGCTTCAGAGAGCTTATGGCGCAGTGGCTAAACTGCAGTCCTGCAGTCAAGACTCTGTTTATAATCAGAGTTCGATCCTGGTAGACTCGGGTAGCTGGCTTAAGATTTGAGTATCCAGCTCACTGGGCCAGGGGGAGGGAACGACAGTGTATAGCCTGCATGATTAAATTGTAAACTGCCCAGTGTGTGTGTTAAGTGCTATAGGGTAGTATATAAGCACTACACTTTGCTTCCTGTAATCAGAATACAGACAATGCACAGTATACTTGGTTTGGACGGACCAAGGAGGGGCCTTACTAGATGGCTGTCTAACCAAAGCCATCTCAGACCTGCACCTGGTTCCATGGCAGTGTTCCTCAAAACACTGGGACCCCCTTTTGCCCCTCGGCATTCTCCGAGGCAGGGAAGGATGAACACAGAGCGCACATGGGTCCCGGGCAGCTGCCTCGAATCAAGTTACCTGTGGCTGACAATGTTGCCCGAAAGCTCTTTTTTTTGTATAACACTGGGACCCCCTTTTGCCCCTCGGCACTCTCTGAGGCAGGGAAGGGTGAACACAGAGCGCACATGGGACCCGGGCATCTGCCTCGAATCAAATTACCTTTGGCTGACAATGTTGCCCAAAGGCTCTTTTTTTGTTGTTGTATTCCCGGCTTTTTTCTGCTCAAAGAACAGCTGCTTCAGTGACAACTGGAGCTGGGAGGTCTCCGTCTTCTGTCTTCGCTTCCAGAAGAAATGCTTTTCGTGCTCCCACCCGCCCAGCCAGCAACCTGCCTGGGGAACTAAATCCTCAGCTTGGAAAAACTGAAATACCCCTAAGTTGCAACATGTCCAAAGCAAAATAAAGGCCTGCTGATTGAGGAACTTGGGGAGCTGGTTGGCCTTGCCCGCCAATAAAGGTCTAGGTTCTTTTTTGCCGTGTTTCGGAAATCCGGGGGCCACTTTTTCGCCTCTAGGATGTACTACTGCTGGCCCATTCTTGTACCCCCAGATGCAAAAATGATTAGGGGGAAGAAGTCAAAATAGGAAGGGGCCAGGAAGCCACTCCTCCCCGCCCCCCCAGACTGGGAGGTGGGGAGCGGAAGGAAGATTATTGCAGAACTTTTTTGGGGAAAGAAACTTTTGACAAAAAGAAAAAAGAAAAAAAGAGGGGGTTTACAGGGGCATCTTAAGATGTTTCTGGGATATATCAAGAAAGCCCCCCAACTGCTCTTCTCCCCACCTCTGCTGTAAAGCCTATGAAGAAGGTCTTAAGCCCTTAGAGGTCTCACAAAGACAATTGTGGGGTTTCTTTGAGGATTGCCAGATCCTGCTCCACAGCTGAGATCCTTGGTCTTCTGTGGTGGGTCCCCCCCCCTTCAATTCCCATGGGTTGGAGGGTATCTTAACTTTGGTGGTCCTGATCCTCCAGCCAGCTACTTACCAAAAATGCAGGAAGGCCAGGAAGTGCTTTGATTCTGTTTGCATACCCGGAGAGACAGCAGATGACTGTCCGTGACCGGAGGGCGAGCTGGCAAACTGGGAAAGTTACTTTTGAACACCATCTGCTTCAGAATTCTCCAGCCAGCATATTCCTTTACTCATGCTGTGAAGGGAGTCTGCGAGATATGTTCCAAAAAGTAATTTTCCCAAGCCCTGCATGGAGGAGGAGGAAGACAATCAGCAGAGGATGTATTTCTGTTTTCTCCTTAACATTCCCCATCTGAGGCAGCAGCCTCCATCTGCCTGATGGCAGGGCCGGCCCACTTTCTGGCTGTAGCAGTTCACCCCAGTTGGATTTTTTAAATATCTGCTTTCTCCTTTTTTTCCTTCCAGAAATCAGACATATATTTGCCCAGGTACTGAAGGATTATGGGATCACATACACACGGATCCCCATTGAGCCAGATCTTCCTCGCTGTGATTGGATAGATCCACCTTTAATGGCCTTCTATCAGGGTGTGGAGAAAGACTCGCTTAACACTGTGGCTGTGTTTAGGAAGCACAGCATACGGTAAGCCCCCAGGCTTTGGAAATCATGTCATCCTCATTGCTTTTTAACCCTTAAAAGATTAATGTCCCCAAGATACGATTCTTCCCAAAGAATTCATGGCTACAGCTGTTGGATCATCATCCCACTTTAGACATAGCAATCCTTTCTTATGTTAGAAGCTAATCAGGATTGGGCCCTAGGTGCCTGCAAAGGGGAGACCATCAGGAAATACTAAGGATCACCAGGTAGTGTTAGGACACAATCTGGAGCCCTGAAGAGCTTCCACAAGCCAGAATAAGTACTAAGCTAGTCTGACTTCGTGGCTTGATTCAGCACAAGGCACTGAACACTGCAGTATATAAAGGTTACTATCAGAGGTATCAAGAGGGATTTTGGGAGTTGTAGTCCAGATACAAAACTGCACACTTCTACTTAATATATAGACTTTGTGACCTGTTGACATAGATTCTTTTTCAGAACAGGCGTAACATTGGTTGAGAGTTACGGAACAGTGTTGTTGGTTGGATAGCTCAGAGGTTTCGGTCTCTGGCTGTGGAGCCAGAGTTTAGGAGTTTGATTCCTCCACTGTGTCTTCTGTGAGAAAAGCCAACCCATGCAGCCTTGGGCAAGCTGCACAGCCCCAGAATAATCTTCGATGGTTGTTGTTGTTGTTTAGTTGTTAAATTCAAATTCAGGTTCGTAGCTTCGATGACCCTGTCCAGCCATCTCGTCCTCTTGTCGTCCCCTTCTCCTCTTGCCTTTACACTTTCCTAACTGAACAGGTGTTGTTCAGAAATGTGATTTGACGGTTAAAACAACAGCGCTCAAATGTAAGCTAAACAAGGGGGGGGGAACGATGTTTCCTATGTTCTCTTTGTGCTATTTTCTTCATAGTAATGGTTTGGGAAGGCATTGTTGAAGCTAAAAGGACTATAGAGTTATCTTCCTATATATGTGGGTCAGTATATATATATTTCATATAATTTATGTACTTTTTAAAGTCACGATGGTCTGTAGGATCCCCATCAGCAGTATTCCCATGGCTTAAGGCTGCTCTTTCTCCCGTTGCAGATGGCCAGACATCTATATAGGACTGAGCACCATGGGAAAGAATATGTCTGTCACCAACATCCGAGGTGCTATTGATAATGCTACCACATCTTACCTGGCAAAAGTGGGTGACTCTTCCACTCTCCCCAGTTCATCTGTGAGCCCAGATCAAGAAACCAGAACAGTAACGATCGAACTGATGACCCATCCGGGCTATCCCAGCATCCCGCCAGTTGGAGGCTGTGGGGAGGGTCCGGACGATTTCTCGCAGTCCTGGGAACGGCAGCATGAACTTGAAACATTAAAGAATACAGAGCTGCAGAATCATTACAAAACACGGAACATTGAACTGTGTGCATTTAAAGACCTCGGACTATGACCGATGGAAGGAGGCGGCTGTAGCGTGTCCTGCGCAGGCAAGGTTGGGTTACACAGGATGCGAAGGAGGTTGTAGAGCTATGACCCGAAATGAATAAATATTCATTTTCTTGTTCTGGACATTTCCACTGAACTTCTGTTCTGATGCTTGGAAGCCCCCCCGAGGACTGAGGATGCCCATTTCACAAGATCAGAGTAGCTGCAACTGGTGTCCTGAAGAGTAGAGTAGAATATCCACAAGCAGGCAAAGATCTGTGGGAAGCTGTAGGGAGCTCCTCAGGACGGGCCATTGTTGGCTTGCCTCCGATGCGGATGCTGGTGTAGAGAAACATGTTTTAAGAGTCCTAGGATGCAGTTGTGTACCCTGGGAATCCTAGTGCATTGATCTGCCCATCATAACAGAGACCTGAATTTGATGACCAAGGTCATCAAAATTCCATTCCAGTAAAAACGGAATTCTGCCACCTTTATAATGGATGGAAATGTACAAGATGATGTCTTTTGTTCTGTTCCAGTGGGAAAGATTGAAATCCGCTTGGGCTCCCAGAGATAGCTGAAGTGGACCAACCCAGAGCGTATCTGCTTTATGGGTACAGCACTCCCTATGCATGCTGGTCCATGTCGGGCTTGTAGCTCTGCAGCCCGGAGAGTTTGGAGTAGGTGGGCAGAGAATACCCCTTTGTGCCGATGGTGAAGTGCAAAGGCATGCGTAACACAGCACCAGGTACATGGCAAAAACAAATAAGATTTTGGCCTAAAAATCATAAAGGTTCGGCTATTTTACCTTTTTTTATTATACAGTGGACCCTTGACTTACAGATGGCTTGACTTACAGACTTTTTGAGTTACAGACTTCTCTGGCCACAAAATTTAGGTTTGACTTGCAGACTGAGATTTGACTTACAGACCAGAAAAAACCCAAAATGGAACAAAAACGGCCTGTTACGGGATTAATCGGTTTTCAATGCACTGTAGGTCAATGGAGGCTTGACTTACAGACTTTTTGTCTTGAGAACCGCCTTCCAATACGGATTAAGTTCTCAAGATAAGACCCCACTGTACTATGCAAACCACCCAGAGTGGCCTGGGTTGCCAGATGGGCAGTATAGAAATTAAATTATTAATTATTATTATTATTTTGAAGGCTGGCAATTTTAGGTATGAGCCCAACATTGTGGGATTTTTGTGTGTGAGTTTGCGGTTGGCTGCTTGGTGTACGGAACATCCTTTGGAATGCCAAGATGATGAATGGAATGGATCTATAACGCAAATTTACAAATCGGGCTAACAGAACAAGTTGTGTTTGCCCAGGGCATCTTCTACACAAGCCAGAATCTATGGATCAGGTTTGGATTTGCAGGGCTTCGAGTGAGCATCATCTTCAAATGCTCTGTTGTCAGAGTCTTTCTGAATGGCCAGTGAAGTGGGATGGGTTGCTAACAGAGATCGGGGTATTCATATACGAATATCCCCGCACAGGTGGCGTTAACGAGGATCCAGCCCCATGGGGCCGGACGGTCCACTCACCGATCTGAGGCGGACAGCATGATTCTGCCCACGGCTCTGCAGGTCGCAATCTGATCGCCACTCCTGGCAGCAGGCGAGAGGACACGCCTCGCTTGCAAGGTCGAAGAGTGGCGAGCGGATCGCGGGCTGCAAAACTGTTGGTAGAATCGCGCTGTCCATGTCCGCGGTGGATCAGTGAATGGACCATCCAGCCCCATGGGGCTGGACCCGCGTTAACGTCGCCACTGCCCACGGCTCTGCAGGTCGCAATCTGATCGCCACTCCTGGCAGCAGGCGAGAGGACACGCCTCGCTTGCAAGGTCGAAGAGTGGCGAGCGGATCGCGGGCTGCAAAACTGTTGGTAGAATCGCGCTGTCCATGTCCGCGGTGGATCAGTGAATGGACCATCCAGCCCCATGGGGCTGGACCCACGTTAACGTCGCCAGTGCAGGGGTATTTGTATACGAATACCCCCATCTCTAGTTGCTAACAGCCAGAGCCTGTTAGTAATTACCTACAAATAGCTGTTTTTTTAAAACTAACTACAATGCCAATTCCTTTAGGCCTTAAAGAGTTAGAATGGTAACCAATTAATTTTAAATGTTAACTTTTCAGGCTCCGGTAATGCTCTGCATTTTGAGAACCAATACTGTTAGCAAGTCTCTGGTAGAATACATACCTCTGTGGCCGCACTGAAGGTTTGGCCGTTTCCCCCCACAGATATAAGGATAAAAAAAATTATCTGAACCTCAGAAAACAGGACTTTTTGATGCCTCTGTTCACACTCCCTCCCCTAAATATTTAAACTGATGCAAGTTCTGGGCTAAGAAAAACATTTGATTCAGTCCATATAGACCAACAGTTCCATAATTATTTTGCATCATGTTAGCAATTTGTTACGCAAATAATAAGTTACGTTGCCTCCAGTCCCTGAAACCATGCCTTAGCGCCTATCTTATTATGACTGCAAACTTTGTTTTAAAAAAAGTTGCCTCTTGCACCTTAGTGCTATACTGGCCTTTCTAAAACCCACCAAATTTGTGCTCCAATGGCCTCACTCCTGTTGCTAATTTGCACTTGTACAATGGAAACTGTGTAAATCAAGGTGGCAAATTGCCATTCATGAACAAGACCCTGGTTGTGCTCCTGGGCATCCACGCACCGACACACAACCAACACCACATTAACGACTGGCATTTTGCTGCCAAGGCTTACGGAAGTCCCTTTACACAAGTGGAAGTCGCCAGTACAATATTGTCCAATCTATTTGCCAATTTACATGGAATGATTTACCTGTACTGTAGCTTCTGTACAATAGAATGGGAACTTCGCTGATAAACATAAAACACTCTCTACCATCTTACTTACTGTCACATCTGATTTATCTGAGTCTACATGTGGAAACTGTAGCAAGACATCATTGTGTTCCACAGGTGACGGTGTCTGTTCGCTTTCTGCTCTGTACTTCTGTAAACTTCATGCTTCCCACCTTCCTATTCCTCAGTGTCTCTATTTGGGTTCTCCGTCAACATCAGCCCCTCGCCATCTGAGTCTGCTGTTACAGGGATAGATATTAAAGCTCCTTAAACTGTTTACAAAATGTGAATTCAAATCCACTAGGCAGATTAAATCAAAGGAAGAGAAACCTTTTTGTTATTCTCACATCTGGCTTTTAAAAACAACTAATCGGGCGTTACAGAGCTGAGCAGTTCTCTATTGTCCTCCATCCCTTCTTTGTTCCCCAAATAAAACACCATGAAAACAGCAGCCTAATATCCTGCACGACTTCGTTCCGAGTATGCTTGAGACACTATGGACGGGAGAGGTCGACTGCTCCATGGTCTAGTATGTCCTTTTCATGCATGTTTCCAGGTACAACCCCCTTGCATCTCCCAAGCAGTGCTTAAAAAGGCAATGGATGTTCTTCTACCAAAGAGAAGGGACACCACAGTGGATGCTAAAACATGCAAAAACTCACCTGGCAGGCATTACCTGACTCTTTTGCCTTGTTCTGCAATGAAAATTTAATCTCCAGCTTTGTAAAACAAGGACTGTCATTCTCTGGAAGTAGAGTCATGGCAACTGGACTTCTTTCTTGTAGGACTGAAATGTTTCGCTACTCATCCACGCTGCTTCTTCAGTCTGAGGAGAGTTGGTAGGAGACCCTTGACATACCCTCCACGTTGGTTTCACTTCCCAGTGGTCTGAATATGTGGAGGATGTATCAGGGGTCTCCTACCAACTCTCCTCATACTGGATGAATAGCGAAATGTTTCAACCCAACAAGAAAGAAGTCCAGCGGTCATGCATGACTCAACTTCCAGATAACCCCACCTGAATGACTGAGAATCCTCACAGATGCAAGTACTGTAGTTCCTTTGTACCTGCTGCGCCCTCCACAGACACCTGTGTATCTCACCTAAGGTTAGATGCAGATGCTGCGATCTCTGCATTGGAAAAGGAGGAGAATCTCCCTCCTAGTCTCCTGCCCAATGGGCTCTGCCAGGGATTTCCTGATAACAGGGCAACGCTCCTGACTCAAGAAGCCCTGCTCTCCTCTTTGAAATGAGTTAGACGGCTCACCTCCATGGCCTAAAACACCTAGCCAGGTTCTTAGACTTCCACACTTCTCCCCAACCTTCTCATTTTATTTACTGTATTTTTCGCACCATAAGACGCACTCTTCCCCCACAAAACGGGGGTGGAAAGTCTGTGTGTCTTATGGAGCGAAGAAAACAGATGATATTTTCCTGTTTTCTTCTCCTAAAAAATTGGTGCGTCTTATGGAAAGGTGAGTCTTATGGAGCGAAAAATACGGTATTTGATTTTTATGCTTTCCCCATCTGACCAAGGGTCACTCTGGGCGGTTCATGACAATAAACGATAATAAAAACAAACCTGCCCTCGAGCCTGATAAAGAATCTGGAGAACTCTTGCATATTTTATGGATTTGCAGTTGGCCTCATCTATCTGGGGAGATGGGATTTGATTTTACTCTTGCTGGTCAACAGAGCTTCCTCCTTTTCTGGAAGCTGCTAACATAACTTTCTTCTAAAGCCATCATTCGCATGCCCCTCTCAATAGACCACAAAACAGATTCTAAAGTTAGTTGGAGAGCATGGAGAGTCTTCAGCATCACCTTTGCTCAGAGGAAAAAATTGTAAACAGCCTACATCAAAATGCAAGCAAGGCATGTGACAAAGCCTTTGAGAGCAATTTTATTCAGGGTAGCAGAATGGAACTGCGAGAAAGCCTGTACTAATACAAGAATGGTGGTGTAGACTTGGGAGATCTCAAAACTACAATATTCAGATTCAGCTGATTTGGATATGAGACAGAACCAAGAGAAGAAAAAAATAAGCGTTGAGTGCCTGAGTTGACACTGCTTCATGATATTATCCTGCATTCATATACATCTTAATTATGCTTTACTAAAGGGACTGTTTGGGCTTGATGCCTCCCGATCATTGCTCTTATTTGCAAAATGGGACGGGCTTTGCAACTTCCAGCCTTGCTTCTGTCTCCAGTTCTCCCACTGCGTGCAGGAACGAGCACGTAACCACTATCTGGAATCAATATCAAGGAGCCAAATATTGCATGATTGAAGAAAAAAACACAGACATTTATCTCTACATATAAGTGACAGGAGCAGTACAAATCTTCAGATCAAGGGTGTGGAGGAATCTTGGAACAGATGTAAAATTAGCTTTGGTACAGTGCTGAAAAAAAAATTATTAGCATCAGTCATAGAGGCCTGTCTCTCAGGAGTGCCAATTAAAACTGGGAACCTACTGTAGCTTTAGTTTGATTTTACGTTATTCCAAATTCCTATTCTGCCTTTTCATAAGCCTTTCTGCTCACAATTTGCTCATAACTGGAAAAAAAAACCCTCACCTTTTAGAGAATGACAGAATGGGAGATCTTTTGCAGGGTCAAACGGAAGTTAAGGAAGACACTTGACCAATCAAAGAGACACCGGAAACGGAAGTCCTTAAGGTTGAGATGGCCCAAATGTCAGTAGGGGTGGGTGGAAAACCATGCTCATGACCGTAACCCTGCTCACAAGCCGTAACTTTTGGAAGACACTGAGTGGAACTGTGCAGGTTCTCCATACAAAACAGAACCTCAAACCCACAGGGGGGCCGTAACTTTATTAGCACCACCTACAAAAGCTTTGCATAACTCTTCATGAGGGTAGGTGGATCTGAAAGACTACGGGAATCCCAAAGCTTGCCCACTAGTAGGGATATGGAAGCAACCCTAATAAAGGGATTGCCCTCCTGTGGATCTGGGGGTCTGTTTTAGCCTTATGGATCAACACGGCAAACTTTTTTGTTTGTTTCCTCTACACAAATACATCCAGCGGTCCAAATGTACAAGTGCACAGAACAGCCCAAATGTATGAACCAGTCCAAAAGAAAAGAAACAGCCCAACATTTTGTTACACATGGTGTGATTTTTAGATTACAGGTGAGAAAGATTACATTTCTCTCACTCCACATCATTCCTAAGTGCCAAGGGTTGGGGGGGGGGAGAAGCATTAAGCACCACCACAGGCAGGCGTGAATTCTTAACAGAAGTTCTCTCAATTACCCAAGCATTTGGTTCTCTTCTCAGAGAGCCCCGGTTCACATATATGCAAGTTTGACCTGAGAGGTTTACAGTTGAAACGATATATAGATATTTATCGCACTATCAAAGTAACAAGAATTAACAGGTAGGTGGATCTAGAGCGGTGTACGGACCAAGAGGCTAAACCTATGCCCACAGATGCAACCGACGGGTGTAAAAACATACAAGCTTCACTGCAATCCGATGCAGGGATTTTACATACACTTCAGTTTGACAGATAAAATTTGGCATTTTTTTTTGTTTATTTTGAATCTGCGTGAGCGTGAATGAAACAAAGTCGCTACCAACTTTCTGCAAATGAAGACACAAAAAATGGTGGAAATTTTGGTAATAGACAGTGCTGGTCACCAAGCCTGAACACACACACTTAGGAAATGCAAGTGTCCATTAAGTAAAGGTAGTTGGTTTTTTTCTTCTTTTTTTTTTTACTGCCTACCAAAGAGGGTGTCTAAGAACACTTAAAACAGAGATGCTTCATACCCCAACTTAAGAAGAAACAACTTTTTGTTTAAACTTTTCAACAGAAGTACTTGGCTGTCAATCTTTTACGGTTTTAAATCAAAAGCTGGAGAAGGGAAGGGGGGGGAATATATACAAAAGATTAAAACCCGAAAGGCTGTTCTGCTGCTTCCCTGTCACAGAGTAGTCCTGAAAAGTGGCAAAAGTATTTCCGGACTTAACAGTCACTCAAAACGGAGGTGGAGGAATTTACTAATGTAGTCTCCTACATAAACACAATGATATGTCCTTCTTTCTAAGACTTCACAGGGTCAATTATTTGCTTGAATCGGACATTTAAAATGAGGGGTTGGGAAGCCATGTGTTTTCATGTGGCTAGAGTGCTTTTTAAGGTATCCTAAACTTGAAATGTTAATAATAAATGTACAGGGTGTTTAATTCTAAATAAGAAGAATGCCACTGTACTTGAACAGGAATGCCTGAGAGTTAAAGTAAGTCTTTTCAATTCATCTAATTCTAGAACACTCTATTTCATACAGGTATTTTAGAAACAGCAGTGGCATATGCATTCAACTATGGGCCACTTATTGCTTAAGGGAAATTTCTAATTTTTTTTCCCAGCAAAAATCTGACAATTGCCAGCTTTTCATTCAACAAGAGAGAGGTAATATGGCGGATATATTTAAATGACTAGAAATTGCCAAGATTAATATTTCAAGAAGTATTCCTTCACTCACTCTCCCACCACGAAAGGGAAAAGGGAACATTTATTTTTCCACTGTGGTACCTCTTGGTCCCTACTTTGAAATTCTCCCAAACTGGTTTGCAATGTTATTCTGAATAATTATTTATTCTAGGTACCCTGCACAGATTCTACAAATAAAACTGATTGGTTTTTTTAAATCACATCCCATAATTCCTTTGCTACAAAAATCTTGTGTCAAAAATTTCCTAGAAGCTTTACATAAGCAGTACTGCAATTCACTCGAACACACAAAGCTTGGAGTTCCTCATTTAATAAACATTATTGTAGTAACATCAGCGAGATGTACACAAATTCTGGGCTCAGTTCTGATTATTTATGTGATGGATTTATTATGTCATGAACTGAATAGAAACTTGAGAGCAAGTTCCACAAAGCACAGTGCAACATTTAAAGTTGGGGCAGGGCAGGAAGTATCTGCCAATCATCATTCTTTTTCTTCCTCCCTTTATTTATTGATGGCAGGGACACATTGTGAGTTTTCTAAGACATCAGTGTTTGGGCAGAAGAATTTTTTTTAAAAAAATTAAATGGGAAAGGAGAGAATGGTCGGGAAATTAAGAAATAACAGCCACAACCTTTTGAACTTTTAAGGGCAGATTATAAGTCTAAGATATTTCTGATAAATTCTGACAAGGAAAAAAAAAAGAAACAGCATCCTTTAAAGTATATTGAAGCAGTGATTTTAAACAAAGAAAGCAGAACTAGAACATCTTAAATTTTTAATCCTTTCTTTACAGGTTACCTAGACCACTTTTGATTAAGAAACTGTAGAAAGTTAGTAACAGCCACAAGTTAACACCGAGAGTGGGCACTTTTGTCAATTTCCCCATAGAGTCCTGCTTTGTGGTGTGTCTGAAATGCACTGCTCCAGATCTTCTCTCACACTTTGCTGACATCAATTCTGTCAGATTTTTTTTTGATTTTTTGATTTTTTGATTTTTATTTTTAGTCCACTGGTCGCTTTTCACCATATTTCTTTGTAAACTCTTCAGCATTCTTACAGAATTTTTTACGGTCCTTAGAGTATTCTTCGGCTAGGTCGGCCCGAAGTGGGTGCTCCGGCTGGGGGTCGTTCACCAGTGCTGTGAGGGACTGGATTACTGCCAAACAAACGAAGAAACAAACAAAGCAAAGAGGTCAGCGTGTATGTGTGCGCGCCCGTGCATCTCCCTCCTCCACAAAGTTTTGCTCTGCAGCCTCATTGTGACATGGAAGCGACCCAGCTCTCAAAGGCTAGGTCAGGGATGGCGAACCTATGGCACGCGTGTCACAGCTGGCACACAGAGCCCTCTGTATGGGCACATGAGCCACAAATCGCCATTGAGAAATACTTACCCATCCTCTGATTCTGGATTTTGGCAATCCCCTCTGTTGGTGCAGTGGTCCAGCAGAGGGGGTGCAATAGCGAACATTACCAGTCTAGCCCAATGGGGGATTGGAGGACCAGTAAGTACCGTATTTTTCCATGTATAAGACACCCCCATGTATAAGGCCTCCACTTTTCTAACCCAAAATTAAGAAATCTAAGTGGGGCTTAGCAAGTGTAGGGGGAAAGGGATCAAAGCCCTGCAGGATCGCTTTGATCCCTGCTTTCCCCTCCACTTATTTTGTTCTTTCCTCAGCTTACGTCCATGTATAAGACGACCATCAATTTTTAGTCTACAGATTTTAGACAAAAGTATAGTCTTATACATGGAAAAATACGGCATTTCTTTAATACCGCCCATAGGAGAGAAAAAAAAAACCTTTAATACCGCCCATAGGAGAGAAAAAAACAACAACAAGCATTTACCCCTTGCAGTTCAGGAGTAGTTGTTTTTTCTAAACTAAAACCTCAGTATTCAGGTTTTAATTGCAGTGTTGGCACTTTGAAATAAATAAGTTGATTCTGTGCTGCAGTTTGGGCACTCGGGCTCAAAAAGGTTCACCATCACTGGGCTAGGTCAACAGGGCACAAGTTCTGGCAGTGCATGACTGGCAAGCCAGTAAAGCACTACGTATGTGCTCATAGTATACTGCACCTCTGCCGCTTGAGAATTAGGAGGCTGGCTCCACAACTGTGAACACAACAACAGCATGGAATAATTGAGATCCGCTCCAGTGGAATAAGGAGCCACACAGATGGAATAAATGTATGTGCCTTTGGTTATGCTACAGGATCGAAAATGGCCCAAATCCAAATTGCTAGTCCAAACTAGAGCAGACCTACTGAATCAATGAGAACTTGATAATTCAGGCCTTCTGTATATTCCAGTGATTCAACAAATCTGTTCTAGCTGGGAGTAACAACTGGATTTAGACCAGTGCCGTTCTATTTATACCAACACACAGTCCATCTTGATGCTATAAATTTAATGGCCTGCTTTTTTTAGGGCTGCTACCAACACCACACGCCTCCATCCATGAACAGCTTAACTATTCATGTGCAATTCTGAATATGTTTTCTGGAAACATGTAACGTTGCATCTGGACCACAAACAACCAGGTCCATCACCAGCCTTTCACTGCTAAGAGCCTCATGAACAGTAGCCTTGAGCAAACCATTTTTTTCTCAGCTTCAGTTGCCTTGTAGGGTTATGGTGTGGGAGAAAAGAATGTGTTTCTCCAAACTCTTTTGAAAAAAAGGGTAAATAAAAATGCAACTAATGAATATATTTGATAGCACTAAGTGGGATTGACTTTCAAATCTGTCACCATCACTGGAGGCCAATGTCTGTTCTTTGGCCTCGCACATTTGTTTCAAGTAAAACACGCAAAGCTCTGTGTTCAAAACATGGGACATATAAAGCACTCTTTTCCTGAACCAAATGGACTACAGTTGTGAGTATGTGTGTGTCTCATGTCAGCCTCTGAGCATGTGAACTCTGATGGATTGAGGTGAGCGGGTTATGAACTATGGCCGTTCATAACAAATCATTCTGGACTCATCTACAAATTGACAGCTCAAGGTTGACTCAGCCTTCTATCCTTCCAAGGTTGGTAAAATGAGGACCCAGTCTGCTGGGGGGGGGGCAATGTGCAGCCTGCATACTTAACTTGTAAACCATCCAGAGAATGCTTTAAGCACTATGGGGCAGTATATAAACAACACTTTGTTGTTGTTGTTTTTAAATAGCTGAACAGCTAAAGCTCTATTTGAGCATTATGTCAAATAAGATACATCTTACATTTTTTGCTTCTCCTTATTTCAGACACACCGTCCTCAGCGCGAGTCTATGAGCCTTGTGTTAATTCATATGCTTGCCATTCTAGCTACCAAATTTCATTTAGCTTTTCTAAATAATTTTAGATAATTTCTAAATAAAGCATATATAGCAGCAGACAAACCATATGGCCACTTTCTGGAGCTTCCACATAGCCCAAATCCCAGGGAAAAAAAATTCCAGCAAAAAAGGGGTTTTCTTCTCCTGAATGTCTACAGGAACAGCAGATTTTTGATTGTGATTTACATCCTTGCAAACTTTCCTAACCTACAATTTCTATCCAGTAATTTCTTTTGATTTTTTATTAACATTTTATTTTTCAATTTGTTTGTATATTTTTAGGTGAGGAACAGCCTGTGCTGAATACCAAGGGTAGAAATCTTTGTATTCTCAAAGGCTTTCATGGCCGGGATCCGATGGTTTTTGTAGGTTTCTCGGGCTGTACTTCAGAACACGGCCAAACAGCCTGAAAAACCTACAACAACCAGTAGAAATCTTTGCTTGCCAAAGATCCCTACCTGTGTTCTAATATATTTAGTCTGCTTCTAAAAGTGTACTAAAGATGTTATTTCTCAATTACGGGAATAGAAAAAGTGGCAGAATACACTGGAAAGCAAACAAAGGAAACGGCACTAGAAAGCTGGAAAACCTAGGGACATTTAATTAAAGGTAGCAGGAAATTCCCCTTCATTACAGATCAAAACAGCATGGTGCCCATGGACTGGGACGTCAAAAGACAACCAACCCTCTAAGAATCAAATTCTCCTTTGGAGAAACCGTGGCCATCTATTAAAATAACCTTACCTTGATCAGTTTTGGTGGCTGGCTTCCAGTTTTCAGCACTAATTACTGGCAGACAAACCTGCCCCTTTTCATCAATGTTAGGGTGATAGATCTTTGTTTTAAATGTAATCTTAGGAGGTTTGAATGGGTACTCTGCTGGAAAGTTGATCTCGATTCTGAACGCACCCTTGTCATATGGAGGATTATCCTACAATGAGAAGATGAAGAATTAGAGATTGGTCCAACCACAGGATAGGTAAGATTCAGATGGATTACTTACAGCAGAAATTAGCACACCTGGAATCTACACTGTTGGTTTTAGAGAAACCCAAATCACCAGAACCCACAACAGTGGCTGAGATGACTTGAATCGCCCCTCGGAAAAAATTAACAGTTTCCAGATCTCACCAAATTAAAGAAATCTGTACACCACGTGAGATTTGATCAATTCTGGGTTTATTCCTATACCATATTTCCTGAAAGCAGGGCACAAGTAGAACAAAGTTGTAAATTAGGACCCCCTCATACCCATACTATCACCCAATCCTATGTACAACTTCATGACTTGTATTTATGCCCAGGCACAGAAGTATAGTGTATCACAAGCTATTCTCTTGTTCAGCAACACGGAATAGGAAACGTCTGCTACTCTACCACAATTTCCCATAAATCTATTAGTAGATCTCAGTCTATTGTTTAGGTTTCTCTTACTGACAGAACTTGTGCTTCAAAAGGGAGTACTTTTAATAATATTGATATGTTCTTGGTCAAGCTCTTAGGGCATCCCTGGCATAAACAAAGAGGAATTTACTGATGACATCTGTATACAGCAGCAACTTGCATCACAGTGCTTTTCAGAAAATACGGACAACCCAAACTTGTTAAAGCAATCCAGCAACATACCGTACTTCTTGCTCCATAAGACGCAATTCTCCATACGACGCACCAAATTTTTAGGAGAAGAAAACAGAAAAATAATAATCTGTTTTCTTCTCCTAAAAATTTGGTGAGCCTTATGGAGAGGTCCATCTTATGGAACACACCCTAGGGCCCTTTGGAGGCTCACCCTGCCCCCCCGGGGGCCAGAGGGGGTGAAATCGCCACCTTCAGGGACTCTTCTGAAGCCTCCCAAGCTTCAAGAGAGTCCCAGAAGGTGGCGATTTTGCCCCCTCTGGCCCAGCAGGGGGGCAGGGTGAGCTTCCAAAGGGTCCTAGGGTCTGTTCCAGGAACCTTGCGAGGCTCCCCCCACCCCCCACCCCCACGGGGCCAACGGGGCTGAAATCGCCAGCTTCCAGGACCTTTTCTGAGGCTTGAAAGGCTCAGAAAAGATCCTGGAAGGTTGCTATTTCGCCCCTGCTGGCCCCGTGGGGGGTTGGGGGAGCCTCGCAAGGGTCCTGAAAGGCTCACTCGGGCCCTTGCGAGGCTCCCCCCATAGGGCCAGTAGGGGCGAAAGCGCCAGCTTCGCTCCATAAGACGCACAGAGTTCCCCCCACTATTTTTTGGGGGGAAGTGCATCTTATACAAGACACAGCTTGAGAGATAAAAAAGGCTTGTGACACCTCTAAGACTGCCAGATTTATTTCAGCACATGAAGGAAGCTATGCCTGATCATCAAGACAGCAGGTCAGCTCAAGCAACTGTTGCTCCAAACTTTATATACTTATTAGATTGATGCCAAGGCCAGTGAACGGAAGTAACAACACTCTAACAGATGGACATCTGACCACCTATGGGTTACAAAGAGAGTATGCCTTCTTGGCAATGTGTTATACAGCCCCTAGTAGATTTAATGACAGACTTTATCTGTGTCCCTGTATCCTTACCATGTTCCACTGGTAGCAACAAGGTCCAGTACCTGGACTAGCAGGGGGACCTTTGGTATGCCAGCTGTCCCCCCCTCGCCTTTCAACTTCAGCTCTCTAGCCACCATAGCCATTGTTGAGAATGGGAATTCTAATCCCCATTACGTCTGGAGGGCCAAAGGTTCCCCACCCTAGAACTAGAGGCTTCTAAAGAGCAACAGTGCAGCCTATTATGAAAGGAGGCTTTAGTGACTAACAAGTGACCCAACTGTAGAATATGCACTTCCTCCTAGTTATTCCCACCCCCCAAAATTATGAGTTCATTTCCTAACAGATTTCAAAGATGAGTCTCATAGGATTAAAGCTCTTCTCATCCTTCTTTTAACATATCCTTCCTAAATTAATGAGACAATCTGAAGCTAGCAATATGACTCCACTGCAGTGAAGCAAAGAATAACAAAGATCCCCTCTTTGAATACTCTTAGTGCATTCTCAGCCAGACCATTCACACGGAAGTCACTGGAAGAATCAGAAACTAGTTTTTTTTCTGGGGGAGAGGGGCAGGCTACATGCAAAACCACTCCAACTCCAATTGAGTAGAATCTAGATGTGAGGTCAGTTGCACAATTGCATTCTTGCAAGACGCCACTGAGGTGTTTCTGAAAGCATTAACCCAGGTGCTAGAAACTGAGAGCAGAGATAATACAATATTTGGAGCAATCAAAATTTGCACAACACACTTCAGCAATCAACGAGGCTGGGTTGGGTGCGGGTGTGTCTTGAGTGGTACAGTGCTTGGAAATCTACTGACACTATGAACTATAGTTACATACAGGTTTTTGGATCTAACGGTTGAAAAAACCCAGCTCCATGTTACTTCAAGCCAAACATGCACAACTGTTTTCAAAAGAAACTACAAATGTTAGGTTTCTTCTGAGAGACAGCTTAGACTGAATGTTGCATTTTTAAACAGTACCGCTGTGTTCCAGTGGTCAAGAAACCTCTCTAAGCAAGTACGGCATGAAGCACTCCAAAGCCCTCTACGATCTAAGAACAACTTGCTAAAATTTTTCATTTTTCTTAATTTAAGTTGCCTTAGTTCAACAAGACACTGCAACAAAGATCCTCCTTGATTCCTTGTGAGAACTAGAAATGGGATACTAGTTTTTCCTCAAGATTTCCAAAACCTGCAGGCACCATCTCTGCTCAAAATATCACAACTCCTTCCCTTTGAGAATTGTGTGTACACTCAAAGACATACATATATTATTTACACAAACACTCATAGAACAAGTAGGGAATGATGTGGCTGAGTATTGAAAAAGATGCAAAAACCAGTTGGAGGCTTCTAATCCTTGGAAGTCCAAAGCAAGAGCCATAATCATTTTGGCCATTTAGCATTATTTGGGTTAAAACATTCTTTGTCTAATTTAAGCAAAACCCGTTCTGTTCTTTTCTCCTGTCAAGACCACTGCTTCAATCTTTTGTGGTGTAACAATAACTTTTGGTTTCTACTCCCTTTCATACATCTGTATGAAAACCATCACTATTAATACAATCTGAATTAGCACTGACCAAAGCTTGCCTTACACGCAATTCCAGTACGTAAAAACATTTGTTAGTCTACAAATACTTGACCAAGGAACTCAGCAATGCCATTTTATTAATACAGACAGTACAAAAAATAAAAATATATACAATTCTCCCACTAAACCAATTGAATGAATATAGCATCTTATTATACCTATGTATAAACAACTACTCAAAGGTGGAACTGTTTCTCCTTGCTTGCAGGTATTTTCTACCAGCATTAAGAAGAGTTCTCACATTTCTGTGAATAATTTTTCTGCAAGCTGTTCAAAACTGATAGCTGCTGACTAGTTAGCTGACTTTCAGCACCTCTAACTGTCTTCTTACAATATTCCTTCCTTCCTTTCAGCAAATAAACTACTGTGAAGCTACTTATCAGAAGGCACGGAATGCTGAACAAGCAAGCAGAGATGCTCACAAGTATTTTACTATTTCTAACCAATAAACTATGCTTGTGGGTCAAATAGCAACTGAAGCTCTTTTCTACTCTTGGTTTGTTGTTGTTGTTGTTTAGTCGTTAAGTCATGTCCAACTCTTCATGACCCCATGGACCACAGCACACCAGGCCCTCCTGTCTTCCACTGCCTCCCGGAGTTGGGTCAAATTCATGTTGGTAGCTTCGATGATACTGTCCAACCATCTCATCCTCTGTTGTCCCCTTCTCCTCTTGCCTTCACACTTTCCCAACATCAGGGTCTTTTCCAAGGAGTCTTCTCTTCTCATGAGATGGCCAAAGTATTGGAGCCTCAGCTTCAGGATCTGTCCTTCCAGTGAGCACTCAGGGTTGATTTCCTTCAAAATGGATAGGTTTGTTCTCGTTGCAGTCCAGGGGACTCTCAAGAGTCTCCTCCAGCACAATTCAAAAGCATCAATTCTTCAGCAGTCAGCCTTCTTTATGGTCCTGATTTACAACCCATAATTATGAATTGTTCTTTCAGCCATGTTCTTTGCACATATGAACACAAACATTTGACTAGAGGTTTCACTTCCATACCAGTGATTGCAGACTTCAGACTTCAGTAGGACTTCCTTATCCATGGGATCAATATCTGCTATTTCACTTATCCACGGTCTGAAAATATTAAAAATATTAAAAGAATTTTGGGAGGACCTGAAAATAAAGAAAAAGACATGTATAGGAAGTGGAAAGAAGGCCAGGTCACCGAAAAGTACAGACCAGTAGCAAGGAGAGGAAAAGCAGAGATTGAGGTGAGATTAACTAGAGATACCAAAAATAATAAAAAAATTATTCAGGTATATGCAAAGCAAAAGACAAAGAAAATAAATAGTGGCACAGCTACACAATGGAAATGAAAAAAATGTTAACATGACAAAAAGCAGAG